ATCAGCACTAATAGAGTTGGTCAAATTAACAGACGTGGCAGTTCAGGGCTCTGCCACCTTCTGATAGCTGTACAAGGTTCCCTATACAAACGAAAGGATGGAGGTCGATACCCGTCAAATCTCCCTTCCTCATCCTTTAGATCCATGCAAAATACATTATTTAATCTATCGCGAGGACTGTTTTTTGATAACCGTGGTGTCCGGGCCAGCTTGCGCGCACCTCGACTAATTCCACGGGATACCTACCACCTCCCTCTAGCAACAGGTACCAGGTGACTCGATCCACCAATGCTTGGATAGATGGGAAGAAGTCACCTAGTATTTGCCTCCGCTGGGATTTGAACCTGAGACCTCATGGTTCTCACCCACTTCATTGACCACTAGGCCACACCGAGGACTGTTATCTCTCCTTTTGCCCCTATTAGGGCTTTTAGTTTCTCTTCTCAAATAAGTCAAATTACATGATAGCCATCTTCTATAATATTAGTATCCCTGTTGTTGTATGATCTATATCTGTTATCTGTCTCTTCCATGATATCGTAGATGTAATTACATTCGGTTACAAGATCATCAGTCCTCATTCTGTTGTTACTCTGCAGCTGATCAATTTTCCACATTTGTTGACTGGGTATCTCATCATCTAGATACTGAATGTGCTTATCAATCCATTGTTCTGATTCATGAAAAGAATTATTGTCCATTCCCTGAACAGTGAGTCTGCTCCCATAATGCAGTCGATCTCTTTCGGACAATTCATCATATGTAGATAGTGATAGTTCAAGAGGATTTAGCTTTCTTTTCGTGCTTCGACTGCTACGCCAGTTGTCATATCTGTATTCTAACTGACATTCCCTCTCAGGATCTTTTTTATAGGAATCTCGGTATGGATAATCAGAAAATCTTCCTGCATTACAGTAAAAGGGTTCTGCCCTCTTAAAATGTGAAGTATCTTCTCTTTCGTGAGAGTCAAAAGCATACCGTCTTTCCCTATGTCTGTGTTGGATCACAGTTGAATTACGCCTTTCATACAGTATCCTAGTATCAGATTTGCGGGAATCTTCAACTTTCAGGTGAGTGGGAATTGTTTCACTCGTTCTACCATGTCTTCTTCTGTCATGCAGCAGATCTCTTTGCACAAGCTTTCTACCTCGTGTAAAATATTTAGAACCACCAGACTTTGTTTGGATATAATGCGTTCCGGAAACTGGCTGGTAATCAACCCTTCTCCGGTAACTCAGAGTTTGCGTTTATGCAAGGCCGAGCTTCTTTTGTACCTTCTCATATCCAATGAGCCGCTACGCATTAGTCAAATCTTCTAGCTAAAACACATGTTGATATCAACTAATTTGCTGGGGGCAGTGGAAAGATAAGTTTGGTGACTAGTGGAAATGGAGCAAATATACAAATGAATCTAACCTTGAAAACATTTTTTCTCTCCGTGGCATTTATTAGAAGAATTACACGGGCAGAGCTAATTCCATATAATTAAATGCATATCAAAATACAATAATTGCTTACCTAAAAAATCACTAATACGATATGCCCTATATTATACTATATACAATTAGCACAATTGATTTTTATATGGGTTCGCATATGGTATGGTACTCCTCTTGGGCTACAAGGGTTATCTTACTTATTCGCAGTTTAGGTCAACTACAATTGTAGTTTTGAAACTCGTTCACCACTAATGATTCTCTCAACCCTTTGATTTTACAGCTCACTAAAGAATCTATACTCTTGTCATAACTTCTCTTTTTACTCACCTTTTTTTTCCTGCTTTAATATACTACAATACAAGGATTATAGTGCATGCTAGAAAATTAAATGAGAGTAGTCTTGTTTAGTCTAAATTCTGGAAAGCTTGTTAGTCCAAATACACACCTTCCATTAGATGCGTGCTCCGTCTCCTTTCATTAGATTGCAATCTAAGCTTTATTTGCGGCTCATTTGTTTTAACGAAGTTGAGTAACCCTACATGGTAGGCTGTGGTTATTTCACCTTTTTTAGCCGGGTGATTTTTTACGTTAAATTTTGTGTTCTTTACTTATCAGTCTTTACATTTCTAAGTGCATAATAAAAGCAGAGACTTGGTATAATTGGACAGAGCGAGGGCACAATTTGATCAGAAGAACGCTTTTCAGTCAAAACACGATGGAATGGCTATGCTATGCCATTAGTGAAGCATCAAAAGTAAAGGGAAACTCAGTTAGAAGATGGAAGTTACAAGACCACTTTACAAAATTCTTTTGCTCGAGGAACTACAACAAGCATGGACGATATATTAGTATCATTAGCTTGCAAGGCAAGGCTAGAAACAAGAGAAGATCAACCATTATTATCCCAGAAATGGCTTTTAACACGGGTTGGACAAACATTGCAGTTAAGATCTCAAATTTCATTAAATGCAAGACCCAGAAGGCAGTTACAGTTACACCCAGAAATACAGAAGATCTTCCCTACTCAGAAACAATCAGAAGAAATAAATGGACTACTAGAGAAATGAATGAAGCCTTTGTTCAGGAAAAAGATGGTATCATCAGCATCTCAGGTGAACCCAACTCTTCCCAAAACTAACTTCTCTCCAGGAGTGTGATAGGTTGCCTTCCAGTGGAGATCTCTGACATTCCCACTCTCAGGGACGAAAGATAACATTAGATAGGTGGGATCGTCTGTATGGTGATGAGGCTGTCTTAACAGCATTGAACCAGCACCCGATTGTAGGGTCAATGAATTATGGCAGCGTCACAAGTTATTATGACTCTGATGTGACGGTGAATCTTACTTTTCCAAATGAATTTGCTGCTTTCATTTTTTCATTTTGTGAAGGATTACAATATTATATGTGTAGCACAAAGATGTATGTCTTTCAAGGTCCATGTCCTAACCAATTGTCATCTAGAAGAGGCCAAGAAGTCCTGACTGACCTACATATAAACTGACCCCATAAGGTTTATCACTAAGCAGATATAAGTTTCTTATGCCTAGGCCCCCATTTCTTGCTGATTGTAAGGTTCGTTAACTTAACTAAATGGATAACTTTCTTGTTACTGACCACCAAAGTTTCTGGTTGCGATACTGACCACCTTTCTTGCTGAGTGTAAGGTTCTTTCACTTAACTAAATGGAGAACTATCTTTTCTTTTATTGCCTTGCCAAATGAACATCCATTTGACAGTGCTGAACATTTTCTTTTGTTGAACAAAATTCTATCTTATACACGACAAATCCAGTGAATCAATTAATTCAATTGAGTTTTTTTTTTTTTGGTTTTCATATTGATTCAGCACGTTTATCGGCCCGAAGATATTGAACAGGAAAGTGGACGCCACAGTTTCTTGATAATTGGATATGGAGATGAAGGCGGTATACCATACTACATTGTGAAGAATTGTTGGGGTTTTACGTGGGGCCTGAATGGCTACGCTAGAGTTGCACGGAATGTGATTACTAAGTTTGTTACTCCGGGATTCGTTCGCTGGATGGAGAATTAGGTGTCTTGACTTGGCAGAGTGGTGCAATTATCAATGGGGTTGCGTGAGAACATTCCAATCTATGTTTTTTGTAAGCGTTTTAACTATGAGCAGTGATCTGACTTTGGTTGCGTGAGATCATTCCAATCTCTGTTTTTTGTAAGCATTTTAACTACGAGCAGCGGTCTGACTTTGGTTGTGTGAGAACCTCTGTTTTTTGTTAAGTGTTTTAACTATGATCAGTGATCTGCCTTCTTCATTGAAGTGTCTGGTAACTTTTTACTATTGCCAAACAGTTTTGGAACAATCTGTAATCCAGTTTGTGTTGAGAGCTATTAGTCGTAAAAGTTTACTCCTATATGATCTGTTTAACTTGAATTTTCCTACAATATTTTTTTCGGTTCTTTTAGGTTTACGCTCTAAGGAGGGTAATATTAATATGGTTTTGCATATCTAAAATATTACCTTTGTGAAATTAAGGTGTTAATTATGCAATTTCAAAACTAGCATATGATTAGAGTAAGTGATGGTGAACGTTTGCAGTATATAAATAAATAGGTGCATAAATCTATGGTAGGTGGTATGCCTCTGTTTGAATCTTACTACAGGTACTACTAAAAAGTAGATAGTTATATGAAAGCAAGTTGTGCTTTAGCTTATCTGTTCATCTTTAAACAATTTTGGTTCATTAGCTGTTTCTCTGAAGTGAATTCTACAAGTCATACGCATTTACTGAATTGAACGTGTCATTGATATTGTTTATGAACACTGTCATTGATATTGTTTATGAACACAGGCGTATTCGTGGTATATAATTACTCCCATATTTGATTGAAGCTATGACTGCCCTTCCAATTTTTGGGTTCTATGCAATTCAATTAATTGAGTTATTTGTTATTCTGCGTTGTGCTGTAAATTCTGAATTTACATAAAGTTGTTTTTTCCTTCCGATCGGCACTTAAGAGTTTAAGTAAAAAAAGAGTTTTGGACGGGTGTGGAGCTTCAAAAAGTGTTTTCTCACGTTTTCTTTTGCCCAACCATTTAAAGAGATAGAAGAAAGTATGTTGAAGCTTGTTTACTCATTGACAGATAAATTCACACAATATAAACACTTACGACATGGTCAAGTTTAATAGGATAGATACAGCTTGCAAGGGATAGATATTAGCCAATTAGGAGGTTGGTCAAGTCCAGTATTTGAAAGGACATATCTTGAAGGAAGTTGGTTAGCCAATTTATCTCCGCTACTGTTGATGCTACTGCCTTATACTCCGCTTCAGTAGAAGATCGAGCAATTGTGCGTTGTTTCTTGGAGGACCAGCTAATAGGATTACCATCGAGAAATATTAAGTAGGCAAATGTAGACATGCGATTGTCATAGTTTCCAGCCAAGTCGGCATATCAGCCAAGTCGGCATATGAAAAAGCTATAAGTCAAAGGGACAAGGACTTTTTGATATGTAAACCATAAGTAATTGTGTGTTTCAGATACCAAAGGAGGCGTTTGACAGCTTGCCGATGCTTGACTATAGGAGAGTGCATAAACCGAGCCAATTTTTTTTTATTTTTGGCAAAGCAAATATCAAGGCGGGTGAAAGTATAACGATTCACCCCGGTCATTTTGTGTATTTGAGCATGTACTTCTATTTGATGCTTTCCGTATGTGTGTTTGATGTTTGCTGATTTAAGGGCATGGTTGGTTTGGTTTCGGGAAGGTTTGAGAATGATAGAAACACTTAGTTTCATTTTTGGAAGTTTAAGTTGTAAGAGTTCATCTAGGTTTGAATTTTATGTAGATTATCTCGGATTAGCATTCTGATGATTCCAATAGATTTGTATGGTGATTTTTGACTTAGCAGTATGTCCGGATTTGGATTTGAAGCTTCTTAGAATATTTTGGCTATATGTGCCGAAAGTTGACAATTTGAAGGTTTTGAGAGTTCATAGGATTGACCGGGAGTTGATTTTGACGATATCAGACTCAGATTGTTGTTTCAGAATTTGGAATAGGTTCATTTAGTGGATTGAAATTTGTGTACCAAGTTTGGCTGGAATCCGGAATTTTTAGTCGTAATTCAGACGTGTTTGGCGAAGTTAGAAGATTTGGAAGGTAAGAGTTAAATTTTGATCTTGATTCGTGGTTTCGATGCTAATTGAAATGTTTCGAGCCTTGGAATAAGTTTGGATGTATTCAGACTTGCTGGTATGATTGGACGGGGTCCCATGAGGCTCGGGTGTGTTTCAAATTGATTCTAGACTATTTTGCTATTGATGGGCAGTTCTGGTGCTGGTGGGTCGCACCTGCGAATGTGGGGGGTGCATATGCGAAGAGGAGCTGGGAGGTGGGACTTCCCTCATGCGGATGTTCATGTGTAGAAGCGCCAAGCAGGAGTGGACTATTTGAGCACCTGCAGAGTCGCAAAAACGGTTGGTTTCTCGCAGGTACGGAGTTGGCCGAGGGGAGGAGATCTCGCACATGCGAGTTATTTCTCGCAAAAGCGAGTTCGCAGAAGCGAAACCGCTGGTTGTCTGTTATTGTAAAGGGTTAGCTCATTTTTCATTATTTAGAGTTTTGGAGCCGGCTAGAGGCGATTTTTGGGGAGATTTTTATCACCACTTTGAGGGTAAGTAATTCCCACTTGGATTTGATTATATATCTTATTTCCCATTAATTTATATACTTAGAACTTGAATTTGAAAGAGAAAAATTGGGGGGTTTGTCTTAGATTATGGAAAGTGAATAATTGAGATTTGAACCCCGATTTGTAGTCGGATTTGGATGAGACTTATAAATTTGAAATAGTATTCAAATGGGTTGTTAGGATTTGTAAGTTTTGTCAGGTTTTGGGAAGTTGTCCGGAGTTGACTTTTTGGTTGACTTTGGACAATTGATCAAATATCGAGCAATTATGGTCCGTAATTATATCCTTTGGTATGATTTGACACTATGGTGTGTTATTTGGCTAAATTCGAGCCATCAGAAGGTGAATTTTAAAGGAAAGACGTTCTTGGATTATTAGTTTTTGCTTGTTTGAGGTAAGTATTTTGCCTAGCTTTGGCTTAAGGGACTGCTTGCTTGAATTGTTGATGTTGGCTACGTGTCGGGAGTGGCATACATGCGAGGAGTTTAGGCTACATTACACCTTGTTTGGGGTATGCGTGCACAGATTTATCCATATTCCGAGTAGTCTTTAGGCTACATTATACCTTGTTTTGGATATTGTATTTTTTGCTATCATACTTTAAATATTTGTATGATTATGTAACTTTGTGAATCATGCTAGAGATCATGTATAGGTTTGATTCCCTTTATGAACATGATACTCGTTATTGTATGCCATACCCGCCTAATCTGAGTTGTAGTCGTCCATTTTGCACATGCATACACCATAACATGCTATGTTTCGCAGTCCATGAGTATGTGTTTGATATTCATTGTTCGTATACATGTATTATTATATATGCTTAATGTATGATGGGCTGGATTGACATCACGTGAGTGGTCCATGCGGGTCAAGTTATTATGGCACATGAGTTGTCTGTGCGGTAATTATGATTATGACATGTGAGTTATCCATGTGATGGTTATGATTAAGGATCTGTTTCCTTATAGTCCCTCGAGTTTCTAACTATTTCTTATTATTGTTGTTACTTCAGATAGTATATTGTATTTCAGACTTATTTTTGTACATAGAGCTCATGACTTAGTGTTACTAGTTTCTGGGAATTTGTTGTAAAAATTCAATATTATTTATGCTTATTTGAATTTCAGATTCATTTATTCTGTATTTATTATTATTTTTCCGCTATGTTTATGTTTGGTTTGCCTAGAAAATGGGGTTAGGTGCCATCATGATCGGTTATGGTTTTGGGTTATGACAAAGTTGATATCAGAGCACTAGGTTGCCTAGGTCTCATGAGTCATGAGCAAGTCTAGTAGAGTCTTGTGGATTCTTACAGAGACGTTTGTACTCATCTTCAAGAGGATACAAGGATATTAGGAAAACCTCTCTTTCTTTCATTCTCTATCGCACAAATTTATTTATCCTGAAGTTCGGACCTTTGTCTTTCTATCTCTCATAAATGGTGAGGACACGAGCTTCTTTTGCTGATGATGCTTCCCCCAGGCCTGGAGTCGCTAAAGGCCAGGGCAAGGGCAGATATGGAGCACGCGCCATAACTAGGGGCCGTGCTGGAGCAACCATTGTGGAGCCACCGGTAGCTCCCGTTGAAGAGCAGATTCCTGATCATATTAAAATGGTGGACCAGCTCAGACACCGGATGGAATGTTGCAACACCTATACTCTAGGAGACTTTGTCTCGTATGTTGAGTGTGTTTGATAGTTTGACTCATGTAGGTATGATCCTTGTTACTCCAGCTACTTCACTGGCTGGGGGAGGAGCCCAGACTCCCACCGCCCATATACCAGAGTAGCTGGCTCATGGTTACAAGACAACGAGAGTCTTACCGATGCATCTAGTCATTGTAGTTTTGCCCGAGAGTAGACCAACCTTGACTGCTGAGAAGCAGAAAAGGATGAAGAGATCTAGAGACTTCATCTTCCTCGTTTCAGTGGAGAGCATACTGAGGATGCACAAAGTTTTCTTGATCAGTGTCACCGTGTTCTGTGCAACATGGGTCTTGTGGACTCGAACAAGGTTGATTTTGTCACTTTTCAGCTGATAGAGGCATCATACAAGTGGTGGTAGACTTATGAGTCAGATAGGCCAGCCAACGCAACACTACTAACATAGTCTCAGTTTTCAATTCTCTTCTTGGAGAACTTTAATCTGCATATGATGCGAGTTGCGTAGTGAATTTGAGCACCTATACTAGGAGGATATGACTGTGACTCAGTAGGAGATGAGCTTCACTGAGTTGGCTCGTCATGCTATGTTCTTGCCGAGAGGGAGAGGATTAGGAGGTTCATTGAGGGCCTCAACTTTGGTGTCCGGTATGGGATGGCCCGAGAGGCCGAGACTGATACTGCTTTTCACTAGGATATGGATATTGCTAGGCGCTTAAAGCATATCTGCAGGCAGGAGAGAGAGTAACTGGACACCAAGAGGTCCTGTGGTTCAGGTGATTTTAGTGGCGCCTCATGCTGAGGTTAGGGACATCACGGTAGAGATCGACCTATCAAGCCTGCTCAGTCGGCCCATCAATTTCCTCGTGGTTCTTCAGTCAGCCACAATTCGCATAGTGCATTGCTAGCGCATAGTGCATACCGTAATCCATTTGTTCAGGGTTCTTAGGGTGGATATTGATAAATTGGTATTTTACCAACTTACCTCTTCTTGATACTTAGACTTTCATATGATTTTGCTGAGAAACTAAGGCGTTTATTGAGGTTTGTTG